TATTTCGATAGAATTGCACGAATAGTTCCCATATATTATCTCTCCGTATATTTCTATGTAATTTATGTCAAATATTTAATTTCTGATCGATTTTACAACACACAAGTGTCAGATATATGTACCGATAGTTGGATTTTTAACTTGTTATTTGTTGACAATTATTTAAATCAAATGGTAAATATGCCAAATAAACAACTAATATATAATTAATTATAGCTGGATTGTGGTTAAAAATAATATAAATGTATTATTTTAGTGTAATACTTCACATTGGTCAATATGTGTATTGGTACAACTTGTAATAATAACGCCACCATTTATGCTATTGCTATACAGGTAACATAAATATACATTATGTTTATAAATTATAAATTAATTTATAAATTATAATAATGAAAATTAACATGATATATACAATTATGTACCAATTTTCAGAAATTTAAAAACAGGAATAATATTAATAGTTATAAGCAATACATTTCTGGCAATCAACACATTTTACACAATGTATTCAAATGATATCACAACTGAAACAGTTCAGAGTACCTCCATATTAACCGACAACCCCTGGAGTTTCATAATGTTAGTAAAAATATATATTGCATTAAAACCAAGCAAAGGCAGTTTCGGCCCATGGTCTCAACTATCAAGTAGTAATAAAAAAGCGTCTATTGTAACCTACTATTGACATCTCAGTCAACACAATGTCCTTCTTTGTTAGGCGTATTTGAGAAAATTGTGTTGACTGAGATGGCAATGGTATGTGACTATAGAGGTATTTTTGACACTACTTTATAACTGAGAATTTTAGCATAATCTGCCTCTGTTTAGATAAAACGAAACCTAACGTTTCAATCATTCATATAATGTAGTTAATTATCATTTATATGTTATATTTTTAATTTTTATTTACCAGGTATAACAATACAACATATAAATTGTTTTACATAATGCCATTAGGCTATGGAACAGCTTATATCAATGGATTACTTTTATATTGTTTAATTTGCAATGGTTATTCGAGAGTTATATACAAAAGCACCATGGTCACCAAAACATGTATAATTTTATCATTTTTGGTTGCATTGAATGCCATAATCGCAGTGAAAAGACGGAGCGAAATGTTTGATGAGCTCCCGTTGTTCAGCGCGTGGGAGAGGTGTTCAACCGACTTATGCTTATCATTGCTATCGTGTTATGCAGTAATCTATGCGCACGAAAGTCGGGGCCGATTGACCCGATTCTTGTCGGCCCGGTATTGGCGTCCATTCCGTGCTTCACAACAGACTTCATACCTCTTTCATGGATTGGTTTTATTA